TAATGTGTTTCTTATTATTTTGTTTGTACATTTCGCACTAGTTAAGTTGAATGATGCTATCTTTAGCTCAGGTATTGCATATGTAAATACCTGATATGATAAATGTGCCTTCATCAAAGCATGAATTCCATCAGGGGTTGCTTTCATTACAGCAGAAAATTCATCATATTTAATTGGAAAAGATTTCTCTGTCAAAAAAGACTCATAATTATATAGGTTTCCATTTCTATCATACATATCCGTGACAAATACAATACCTTTTTTTTTCACCAGTTTTCTTTATATATACTCTTTCTTCTAATGGTTATATTTCTATTGTTCCACAATATTTCTTTATGGGGAGAGAAGTTGTACACATAGCACGCCAATAGCGACTGCTGATGAAATTTTGAAAGCTTTGTAGGCAATTTTGAAATATTAGAATTGCAGCTCATTAGGAATTTTAACCCTCCAATTTGTAAAAATATGTTGTGTGGTATTAAATTCCATAAAGGGTTCAGATGTGAGTTTTCATGGTGCCTAGGGTTTGGATTGTCATTGTGTAGATTATATTTTGCTCTTGCTAAACTTGTGATTTAGTATCTTGATTGTGTCTATTCCTGCAGCACTTTATGTGACACTTGTTACCTATAGTGATTTAAGCTTGAGCACATGTTCTGCCCAGTGATTTGGCTTTCGTGTTTTGTGCTGTGTGCGCCCTGAGTAAATTCCTGTAACCCTGCTCTGTGCCCATGTTCAGTTGCTCTGTGCCAGTTGGAGACACATACTATTGGGGGCCAGTTCCCCTGTTTGTGTAATTCCTCCACCTTCCAGCAAGAGTCACCCTTGCCCCATTCCCCCACAATCCTGTGTAGTGTGTGTACTCTGTGTATATGCTCTTGTGATTAAATTGTTTAAACTTTTACTCCATGTCTGCCGTGTCACTCTGTCGGTGCTTGGGTCTCTGCACTTCTCCTAACAGTTGTACAAGGTAATCTGGGTTTCATCCGCCCAGAACTGAACAGACTTTTTTAAAGATCTAATCTGTCTGAGTCTTCACTATTGGGATAATCATGCTATATTTACATTCATAAAGGCATCTCTTCCTCGTAGACTAGGTTTCAGTCTCACTTCTGAATGCATCAAGGCAATGCCACAGATTACATTGCATAATTATCCACTGACCTATAAAATTTGCAGTAATGATGAGTTGGGGAGCACCCTAGTTTAAAATCAGCCAGGTCAAATTAAACAATAGGAAGGCAAACCAAGAAATGACTTTCGTCAGGGTGATGAGACAATTGCACTGATTTATTAGACAACCAGTGATACAGACTCATGGAAAAACTGAAGATACAGACATAGCAAACACTAATTCCCAAAAAATATGAAACTTTGTCTTTTAATCCACTTAACCACAAACAGGTAGCTGTCATTGTGGTGTGACAAAAAGTGATGCTCCTGTTTATGTATGAGAGCTCCTGTGAGAATCAAAATTCTGATTTTGTAAGGTTTTAATTAAGATGTTTGTCATGACCAGAATTATTTCAAGCACAGTTGTTGCTTGATCCCCATTTCACTGTGATATAATTTCAGAGAGTCAGTACTATCAGGAGAGCAGTCAGACAGGAATTTCAACCTCTGTTTTATCAAAGCACACCTTTTCAGTGTGCCAAGGCAGCAATAGAGCTGCATTAACTTTACAATAAATGATTAGCAATACTATTATTGTCACAAAGATTTAACGGGCGTTTTGATGTGCAATTAATACCCATTTAATTGCAGCATGGACACAAAACATAACACAAAAAGGATCACATTCTCGTTTTGACACACATACAGTGTTTCTTGAAAGCATCTCCCTTGTATTGATATAGTCAATTCCACCACAGAAAAAAGTAGCCACCTTGTGGTGAAACAATACATTTGATTGAGGGCGATGCATTGCAGGGATGATGGTATCTTCCTCCTTTCGATATGCCTAACTATCATGTCTGGTGGTGACAGGACTGTGGTTTCAGAATATGTGGATTTGGTTTGTGAACAAATGTCCCATCCATCCATTTTCTATACACCGCTTAATCCTCATTAGGGTCGCGGGGGCCCAGCCGACTTAGGGCGAAGGCAGGGGACACCCTGGACAGGTC